ATGAACAAAATCGGCAAGCTTGCAGCTGTGCATATAGGCATCATCTATGGAATTAATGCATACGTGTTAATGCAAAAAGGATTAACGTTAAGGATGGAATTAAGGTACCTGGAGGATGTGTGGAACGCGTGTAGATCATGAAGGCTATGGATGCAGCAAGGGCAGCACTCCTTGCAAGCCAACCAGAACCGAATAGGGCAAATGACACAACACCAAGGGCTGCACAACCAATCTGAGACATGAACATATTGTACTTCTGCAACATCATGGAGAGTTTCATTACTTTATCCTCAATTTTGATGAATTATTTTCATGGAGGAAATATGAGTAATGACAAAGAATAGAGGAAACATATATAGATATATATATATATATATCTATATATATAGAGTGAGAGAGGATCCTCTTACACAAAAGTCTTACACAAAATCATAACTATTCATTTTCCAATATTAATGGCTGAGATTCATCACAACATTTTAGATGAAAATACAATTAACTTTAAAAAATATAGAATAAAAAGTGAATAAATCTTAGTCATTCGTAATGAAGAGATGAATAGTTAGGATTTTGTATAAGTTCTATGTGTAAATTGATACTAACTCATTATATATATATATATATATATATGAGATTAGTGTTTATAAGTTAGAGCAGTAAAAAAATTATACAAAAAAGCACTCAAAACTATGCCATCTCAATAAAGCACCAAGAGAAAAGATTAAAACAGTCTCCTTCATGCTTTAAGACTAAGATGTTTTTAGTCATTTTAGTGGGAATTTGTTGCAATGACATAGTTTTGATGTATTTTTCTACCTAATTTATAAACATTTGTTCAATATATAATATAGTGATCAACTTGGATGTTTTAATATGCGGGTAGTTATAGGATTTTTTTTTTCTTGTCTTTTACTTTTCTAAAAATATAGTAGTATAGAATATTAATCAAAATTAGTAAAAACAAAATTAGTAAAAGTATTTAAAAATTAATTAAAATTAATTAAAAATTAAAAATTTATATTTGTAAATAAATTACTGCATAAAAAAATGTCTGTGCAGATCACTGACAAACAAAGTCATAGTTTTCTTCCCATGGTTGAGTTAGCAGCAAAATCTTTAGACTTTAGTCACTGGGGCACTGAGCTTATATTTCCCTAGACTCTTTTGCCAAGAAAGAAACCAAACAAGGCCTATATAGTAGAAGGATTGAAACTAAGACACACCTTAGTAACATTTAGCCTGTTTACAACTTTTTTTTACAAAATACCTCATCCTTGCATACCTAGGATTGAACCTAAGCCAGGCTCTTTTTTAATTTACAAGCTATTAAACATTTATAATGATCAATACATGTCTTGGTTATTTAATGGTAAAACATTTTGTATGCACATATACACATTTGTTGTAGTACGTCATTGACATTTTTTTTTACCTATTGCATTTAGTTTAAGTATTGTATAAAGTATAAACCAACCCTTTAAATTAAATGACAATAAACAAATTACAAAAATAATCCAGATAAAACCTGTAGAAGAAAGAATTCGAATCACAACCTAGAACAATGTTCTGAGGCCCCAAGTCTATATTTTGACTTTTGATATTGCAGGTTTCATATAATACAGTGGTGATTTAAATTTTTTATTTTAGTTTTCAAAAATTTAAAAATCTTAGAATGAAATTAAAAAATTTTATAAATTAATTAAGTTTGAAGCTTTGGATATAAGTTTTCTAAAAATTGATATTAATGTTTGTTTGTTGAACCTCTAGAGAATTGAGAGAAAAAACACTTCAAAACTACTTTATTTTAATAGAGTGCTAGAGAAAAAAACCAAAACACCTCATTTTTACTTTAAAAATTAGTTCCTAAAATTAAAAATAAAAAACTACAATCATACAAAATGAAACTGTAGTTTACTTACATAATGCAATTATTTATTTACCCTGGTTTTTTAGCCATACTACCAAATCCCTCATGTTCGCTTTTTAGTTTTACATGCAACAATAGGGCCTGTTTTGGTTTGCATCTTCCATTCTTCCTTAGAAAAAGAGTTTGGGAAGGCTGTGATGGAACAACGAAACAGTTTGCACTCAGATTTTGCAGCAGGGTTTAGTCTATTATACCACATTAAAGGGGCCATTTGTTGACTAAACCCCTTACTTTTCTCAAATGATTCCCTTAGTATGTTTTCGGTGGGAAGTAAAACTTAGGGGTTTTCGTCAACTATCTCTAAAGAAGAGTACTGGGGCAAGGGCAGCGTTTAAGCAGCATATACCCCCAGAATCCTTTGCTAAGAAGGAAAAACAAACAGACCCTAGAGAAAAAGGATTTCAACCTAAGACATCTTTGTACCTCAATTCTTTTCCTCCATCTGCAAGTTACTAATGGTTTGTTTGGTTTGAGTAAAGGGGAGATCATTTCATTCAATCAAATTAAGTAGTTGGTGTTTGTTTTAGAATTTGAAAAACAGCTATCAGTTATTGACTCTAATTAAACTGATTACATATTTTAAATTATGAACAATAATAATTATCATCTATTGAATATCGATTATCAGTTATCCTGCATCAAAACAGCTAATCTAAACATTCTTTAAAACGTTGACCCAACATTTTTATGTAATTGGATGAAATTATCTTCTTTCTCATCCCATCCATTCCTTACTAAACAGACTCTAAACAAATTGTTATAGACACAGGCATAAATCACGGTCTTGCCTTTTGCTTCCAAAATTATTTTAGTCGGTTAGTCTAATTCAAGGCTATTAATAGAAACTGGCGGAAAGTTCAGGCATATATTACTAAGAGAGGAAAGCAACCGAATTATTACCCGCGCAGCCGGGGAAGAGGGAACGGCGAAGAGCACCGCACAAACCGCACCCAGTGGCGGAATCGTCATGGAAATCCCTCTCGGCGCCAGTATCTGGTCCATCTTCCCCAATATCGCCATTGCCGCAAACGCGCCTGTTTTCACACATAATTAAATTTATCAAATAAAATGATTTAATTGATTTCTTCAAAACATCGTGAAATTTTTTCATAGTTGCTTTACACTAACCTGCGGAAGGCCAGAGGATATCGCTGAGTGAAGGAGCAGAAGAACCCTTCTCAGGTTTCCAACCATCCCAGCCAACTGGAGCCTCAGCGTTGCCGCCGGCGGCCGCCTTCACCGCCACCGCCCCCCAATGTTCTTTACTCCCCTGCTTTGTTCTTATTCCGGAAGTCCTGATTTTACTGAAACGATTCTTGAAGGATAGAGGAGAAAGCAATTGCAAAGATGTTGGGATTGGCTCAAACACATTTCTCTTATGATGAAAATAAAAATTGGCTCTAATGATCACTTGGGTCCCCATTTTCTAGATCCGCCACCACTGCCTCCGTCGTCTCTGCCGTTTATATAGGAGTTGAAAAGTTCAGACAAATGTTGATTTTTTTTGTATAATTTATGTGGAGAAAGGAGGACGGTGACCGTTGGGGGAATCAAAGCCGTGGAGGGAGCAAGATGGGGTCTTTTCTTTTTGCCTTTTGGAGGGATCGAAAGGTGCACAGGATAAGAGAATCCAGTTCAGACACTCATTTTTTTTTTTCCTTGGATTTCTTACATAAAAAATTCCTAAACCGCATAATATTTATTTATTTTTATTAACCTCCCTGTCCGATAATCAACGGCAAAAGCCTACTTTTTTTTAAGCCCCTCAGCTTATCAAATTTTACGATCTTAACTTCTAATTTTATGATATTATTAGTTTTTTATCTTATTAAATTTATAAATTTTAATCCTTTATCTTATACTATGATATTTTTAACCTTTCACCTATTAAAATTAAAAAAAATAGCCCTTACATTATAACATTTTATTAGTTTTATTAACTAACTATTAACTCTATTAACTAATTGTTAGTTAATTATTAATTTACAAAAATTTTTTTTCAACTAACAGAGTTAACAGAACTAATTTTATAATATTTCGTTAATTCTATTAACTGACTATTAGTTGATTGTTAGTTGATTGTTAGTTGACAAAAACCTACTTTCAACTACCAGAGTTAACAATCAGTATAAAGTAAGAGTTATTTTCTTCAATTTTAATAGGTGAGGGATTAAAACCTATAAATTTAGTTAGATAAAGTATTAAAAATATTATAATATAAATTAAAAGGCTAAAACCTTCAAAGTGAGAGGCTAAATTTAGTTTTTACCATAAGGAACTCAAAATTTTATTTAAGTGGGGAGGATTGAGTACCTTCTAGTGGAAGCAATAGATGGTTAGTATTGCATAATATTTATCAAATAGTTAAAAGGTGAGCTCTGAAGGGTTATTTTTATTCAATAACTTATGTTTTATAATTTAATATATTTTAAATTTAATATATTTTATAATTTATAATTTAGTATGTTTTAAATTAAAAAATAGAAAGATTTATTTATTTTGATTGGAATTAATAACCATTAGGTGTTGGAAAAAAATAAAGAAAATTTTTAAGTTGTGTTTTAAGAGTATAATTAATATTTTTTTGAAATTAATTAATATAAAAAATTATAAAAATTAGTATAATATTCATATCATCACTAATATTATACAAATCATTTTAATTAAAGAATTAATTAAATAAAATTTTATTTTTTAATAATAATTAATATAAAAAATATTATTAATCTATATTTTTAGAATACATGTTAGAAAAATTTAAAAATAAATACTAATCATTAGTCGTTAATTAGACTTTGTGAATCTGCACTTTGAGTGCAAAAAGAAAAAAAGTCTTTAAACTTGTGGGAGATATCTAGCTACCTGCAGACATTATAAAAAATGAGTACAATGTAACGCGGTGCATCGGTTTTAAGTGCTAGGTCAACATTTGAAAATTTAATGTTTTTGGAAGCAATAGATTGAAGATTGACGTGGGGTGTGACCTTGAAATTATTAGTAGAGAAATTAGTCTTATGGTATGAATATTTTCATGGTAAATATTAAGAAAAAAATGAAAATTCAAATTTATAGTAAAGTGAAATGTTAGGATTGTAGTATCATGATTATGATCACACAAGATATTACATGTATATTTATATTATCTAATTTTATATACTCATACATGTTTAAAATGTTTATAAAGGTCCGTTTATAAAATAATTTTAAATTATTAAATAATTTTAAATTATTAAATAATAAATATTAATTATTTTATTAAATATTAATTAATAATTATAATTATTAATTACTTTAATCAATCAAATTAAACATATATATAATTTTTTTTATTACCTTAACAACTAATTGTGTGGCTACAAGCATGCTCTCCAACAACAACCGGTGTTTTATAATTTGGTGGTGGTTTTAGATAATGACAGATTTTGCATAATAATGGTAAGGAAGAGAGTTTGAGGTTGAAGTTTTGAGTTTAATATTATGTAGGTCTGTTTTTTAGACAGTAAGGGTTTTTCTCACTTAAGATACAAATTTTAAAGCACTATTTCATAGTAGTGATATAAAAATAATTTTTTTATATAATTTTGTATGTAGTTTTTATATATTATTAAATGAATATATGTACTTAATACCATA